GGGGGGGGGGTAGAAAATAAGAGGCAGACAAAGGTAGAGAAAAGATAATATGAAGTAGTATCATGGACATGGTCGAATATGACATTCAGTATTATCAGGATAGTTTGAAGTCAGAAGTCAACTGCCGCTTAACAGACAATTTCGAATGAGTATACGATGCCTAGAGTGCCCCCATAGAAATAAGTCTATCGCATACACCAACCTTAGAATATAGTAAGTTAAATAGTTTCTATTAATAAATCATTTAGTATCTATCGGAGAAATCATCAATATTATTGACTGAAGTCCATTATGCATGGACAATAATTTTTTCACTGAGAAAACATTTAGCGCAGTCGTTGATATCATCATATGACGATGAGGTGCTATGGATACCGATCGAATTAACGGACTTCAGTTTTATTCCACCTATCACTCAGAATATTTAGCTTCTAACACAGTCGTGCACAATGCTTCTTAACGTGAGGTTGAGCTCTTACAACGAGCCTCCATACGCGCGCCCCTTCGTGTGATCGGTTCAGCGGTCTCCCTTTCTCTAACTCTTTCGATTTTCTTAAACCTTTACTCCATTAACATCGAAGAGATCACTATTTTATTTCTAACTTGATCGTTTATGTTTGGAGAGTTTTAATGCAAGCTGCTAGCTTTCATGTTCATCAGTTATTATTTTGGTTTCAGCAGGAAAATAAATTAGATTAGTTCGGTTTTTATGAGAATGCTATATGTTGGACACAACATTCTACTTTAGATTTCTTGACTCATTACCGAAACATGTTTTACAAGGAGTTAATATTAAAATTTGGTAAAGACAAGTAAAAGTTACTTTGATGATATTGTAAGGTGGGGTGTGCGACAGACTTACCTCCACGTGGTGCACCCTGGGCAACGTATATTCATACGGCAAAAAAGTCTATTGACTGGCAGTTGACTTCTCACTTCAAACTACCATCATCTCACTTTATGCCATATTCGACTATTTTTACAGTACTTACCTCACCTTTTCTCTGTGTCTCTTTTACATCTGTGAAACACTCTTCTGTTCCCCCTCTCCACTTTTTGTGACTTTGATGTTTCTTCCCTTCTGTGAAGCCTGAAGTCAACTAAAGGGCTAATGATAACTATCAGAACGCCAGCCATTTGATATAAATAAATAGATATTGTAAGGTAATAAAAATGGTCATTAATTTTCAATTTTAAGTTATAACAACTACTTTAGAATCACTATTAAAAATTCAAAATTGTTTTAGAAATATTGCCCAAAGCCCTAAAATGCAGTCTAATGATATCATGAAATTTGCTATTAATGGTTTTTATTCCCAGTCAGACCGATTAACTATTAAAATAGTCTATAAGGATCATATCGAAATAATGAGGACGTTTGGCGAATATTGATTGCCATCAGTTACTTCGAAGCTCAAAGTAAATAATATTGCAGAAAAGTAAATACTTGAAATTAAATAAATCGGAATTAAATTTTAGTTCTCTAAAACTGATAATATTTGACAATGGTTATTAGTAAATGCTTGTACACTAAGCCTAATAATATCTGGATTAAAGGATTCGCATAACTAATTTTAAATATATTCGTGATAAAGATGTAAACTTATATGAAGAAGCTTTGGGCTGTTAATGTAACGAGTATAATGAAAGTTCACATGAGAATTTGTAATTAAAATGATGATGGTGAGGGCTAAATAAAATAAATTTGACACTTAATTTGAACAATAACGAAACTTAAAAACTGTTAATTTGTGTTTAGTTGCCGTTTGGAAACAAATTAAATATCACATTAATTGTCATAACCCCCTGCTAAACTCTAAACTAATACAAATTTGAAATTAAATCTGGACCAGATATTTAATTAATGATGAATATTTAAAATCAATTTAAAATATATTCTATTTAATAACTTTATTTTTGATGGATTTTAATATGTCATTAATTATTTGTTAGCATAAATTAGTTACATTAACCTTAAAAGTTTGCGATTGCGTACGTTTTCAATTCGGGTTTGTGCGTTCCACCGAAAAGATGTCTCTTGATAAACTTGACTTGGAAAAGAGGAAACAAATCAGTGTGCGAGGTATCGCACAAGTAGAGAATGTTGCCAACTTGAAAACGGCTTTCAATCGTCATCTTCATTTTGACATTGTCAAGGATCGTAATGTTGCCACGCCTCGAGATTTCTATTTGGCTCTCGCTAGGACCGTTTGGGATCACTTGTGCTCACGCTGGATTAGAACTCAACAGGCATATTTCAAGGAAGATCCTAAGGTATTTTGAATTTTCTTAACAATTTATCTTTTCTGCAAGTACGTTTAATCTAATTCTGACACAATTTTAGCGAGTTTATTACCTCTCGTTGGAATTTTACATGGGCCGAACTTTGACTAACACCATGATGAACGTTGATATTACTGCTGCGATTGATGAGGCTCTCTACCAGGTATTTTACTTCTTGTTTTGCCAAACTAATGACGATATTACTAATGTTTTTGAATCTAGATGGGTCTCAATATTGAAGAATTGGAAGAAATCGAAGCTGATGCTGGTCTCGGAAATGGTGGTCTTGGCCGGTTGGCCGCTTGTTTTCTTGATTCCATGGCAACTCTTGGCCTTGCAGCCTACGGATACGGTATTCGTTATGATTACGGTATCTTTGAACAGGCTATTCGTAACGGGTGGCAAGTTGAGGAACCCGATGAATGGTTGCGATATGGTAACCCCTGGGAAAAGGGTCGTCCTGAGTATTCCTATCCCGTTAACTTCTACGGAAATGTTGAGGACGCAGGTAATGGCAAACGCAAATGGGTCAACGCACAGCCTGTTTTCGCCATGCCCTATGATACTCCTATCCCTGGTTATCGTAACAATACCTGCAACACTCTTCGTCTTTGGTCTGCCAAGGCTCCTTCTGGTTTCGATTTGCGCATCTTTAACACTGGTGCCTATATTGATGTAAGTTTTTACGGCTTGTTAGCAATGGGCTTTAAAGTACTTTATCAATTTGTGGTTTTATTTCTTCTATTTGCACTTTTGCTCTCCCTTAACTAATTAGAGCTTATTTATGGTTCACTAGCTTCGATATTTTTACTATCTATACCTGATTTAAAACAATATTTTTTAATTGAGTTAATAAAGTCCTTGGTAAGTTAACCGAGCCTGATCATCCGAGATGCCAGTTTGAGAGTGAAACGGATGTTTTGTCTGCGTATATGGTAAATCTGGAAGAAAAAATGAGCCAACAGAAGATATATCCGTTACAGTTAAAATGCTAAATCTGGTCCATGGTAAGGAAGTGGGACTCTTGTAGTCTTAAGTAATTGCATTCGATCACTCTGGATGTTGATCGTTTTTCAGGCTAATTGAGAAGCCCGCTTTGCACTTTCTTTTATTATTAGTGTGCTATCATCACGTTTTCTTAACGAGCGTAACACTCGTGCATTAAGTTGGGAGCTGGCTGGCATTCTGGCAGCTAACAAAAACGTGTGAGTATGGTTGATGCTTTGTTTTGGTGCTATTCTTCTCAGAATATGAAATTGACGATTATTGACTAAAGATTAAGGGAAAGTTTTCAATTTGTACTTGCAATATTTTTGCTTGTACCTTTTTATCTTTATACGACTTGATTATATTTGACCGATTTATATGAATAAATGTTCAGATTAAACTAGATAAGCATCATTTTTAAGAAATTTCTTTCTAATTGCGTTACTATTTCTTTATCAATCTTGTTTAGAGATAATTGAGGTGAAAGCAATGTTTTTCCCTTTTTGATGATTCTCCATAAAATGGATTTCAGCACCAAATTCATGGGATGCAAAGATTCCTCTGCTATCACAACCATTCTCCTTTGACTGGTTCGTAATCAGCTGATTGACCACGCATACTGCGTGCTGATTGGACAGTAGTCACTCCCATCTAACGATTGGCTGTCAGCATCACGTTCGCAAAGTTAGTTTATACGTGCGTTCCCCTGCCCCAGGTCCTAGATAAACAGAAAATTGGAAATCCGGTTTTAAGTCTCACTTCTTGCACAAATCAATCAAGTCTCATAGCGTAGCTGTTACGAATTTTATAAAGCCCACAACACATATCAAAATCTTTATTTAGCGGTAAAAGAGCAAGGATTGGAATTTGAAAATTCGATGAGTGCGATATGAAAGATGGAATGAAATGAGTATATTAAAAATGGCTTAAATACATAATGAATGGGGTATTTTAGTCTGAGAATCATTGATAACTTGCAGATTCAACTGCTGGTTGAGACTTCTGAGAATGAATTAAGAGTCATTTTTATTTGAAGCCTAAGTTTGGTCAAAATTAAATGTAACCAAACATTTCCCCTTAACCAGTAAATAGACAGTACATGCCCTAGAGAAGGTTTCGAAAAATGTTTCCCATAATGAAGGTGGAAACGGTGAATCTACTTATCCTCCATGAACTCCGCCTTCTTGGTCTCTTTGCGCTATCGGATATACACATTTATTCACTTATTCCAGATTCAAGTTTTATCAAATAAATGCAAAAAAATAAATAAATATTACAATTCAACGCTGGCATGGTGTATAATTTGTATGAAATTTCAATTATCGATTCGCCAAAGGAAGCCTACCACGGTCTTTACCTAAGGAACACAATATGAAAAGTATTGCAATATCAATGCAATTAAAATGGCGTAGATTGAAAATTTGACATATTCTAATGAAGAAAGATTTTATCTTTAGCTTCTTGAAGGAGTTCACGTCCGAAGTATTGACTTCTTGTTATTCAGTTGTCAATAGCATCTGCTACGTGCAAAAACGAATTTTCTATTCTCCTATGACTGCTATAATCTCCATCGATTTCCATCTCTTTTTTTATTATAAATAGGCTGTTTGTGGTCGCAACACGGCTGAGAATATTTCCCGTGTTCTCTACCCCAATGACAACTTCTTCCAAGGCAAGGAGCTCCGTCTTAAACAGGAGTACTTCTTGGTCGCCGCCACCATCCAGGTTGGTTCTTGAAATCTACCAGCTCAACCCTTAACCTATTGTTCTCCCGTTAACGTTTTATTGCCAAGAACAGTTTAGATTAACCTTACTTGATATTCCATAGTAATAGCATTAAGGGAAATAAATAAATACATTAAGGGAGAAGATCAATGGAAGTTGAATGAGGAGTGCCTCATTATTGTTTGCAAATACCAGTTTCCATTCCATTAATGAGGCTCTGTTCAGAGTGTTGATTTAGGAGGATAAAGTTTATCTGTTAGTCAATTCCCCCCCCCTCCCCACCATTCATTTCTATGAATCTGGCAGTAGTTCCACGCAGTGATTTACCTGCAATTAACCTCAATTTTTTTTGCTTGGTGTTGATTGGATCAGATAAATGAAAAAGTTTTCCATGAGATAGTAATGGGTAAAAGCTAGTAGTGAAGATTTGCATTCTCTTCAGGTTCAACTGACTGACTGAGCTGGGTCTGTAACAGGAATGCTGTTCATCTTTGACTAAGTGAAAAGGATATATTTCCCATTTGCTATATATCCACTTATGTTAGATTTGAATAAGTGAACTGATTAGTGCAGGCTATGTATCCAAGAAGACGCTTCTATCTTCCAATTAATACCAATCCTCCGAGAGCATGATTTGTGATGAGAGAAGGCCGGCTTTAAATACCCATACACACGATCCTATTTTAGACGCATTTTATGATATTAATTTAAATTCGGGACAAATTATTGGATGTCAAGTTAGGGTCAAAGTAGAGTTGAATAGCACCAATCATTCTGCTTAACACCTGGTTACTGCAGAAGTCTGTAACATTCTGATAGAGGTGATCAAGATATTTCTTTCCAGTTTCAGATTTTGTCATTGGTTTTTTTGCATGAAATGGTTAGCGTGGTTCAACATTCACCACCCAAATAGTTTACCATTATACAACCCGAATTGCTTAAAAAATAACATCAATTTACTTCTTCCTATGTTTGGGTTTAAGTTGAGATCAAGCATCGGCCCTTCATGACGCTTGTTAAGTGTACTTTTAAGCCAGGAAGCCCTAGATTTAGAACACACTTAGTTGAAGTGACGCCTTAATCGTATTCCCTCTAAGCTGGCTATGATAACGTGATAGATAGGGACACTGGTATTATATCAGATTCTCTATTTATTCGTTATATTATTTATTCACTGTGCTTATAATCATGACATGTTATTTTCCAGGATATTCTTCGTCGCTACCGTTGCACCGCAAATGGTCCACGTTCTCTTGATCACCTTGCTGATAAGGTGGCTATCCAACTCAACGACACCCATCCGTCATTCGCTATCCCTGAATTGATGCGTGTTCTTGTGGATGTCGAGGAAATGGAGTGGGAGAAGGTGCCTTCAAATTCATTCCAAATCAACTAATTACAAATGAAATATCTGATTCTAATTGAGCTCTTTTTACCGCCTTTTACAGGCCTGGAAGATTAGTTGTGCCACCTTCGCGTACACCAACCACACCATTCTGCCTGAGGCCTTGGAGCGTTGGCCATGCAGTATGCTTCAGCATATTCTTCCTCGCCACTTGGAGATTATCTACCGCATCAACCACGAGTTCCTTCAACTTGTCTTGGCTAAATGGCCAGGCGACCTTGACCGCATGCGTCGTATGTCGATTATTGAGGAGGATGGAGAGAAGCGTGTCAATATGGCCTACCTGTGCATTATTGGTTCTCATGCTGTTAATGGTGTCTCCGCCGTTCACAGCGAGATCATTAAACGTGACACGTTAGTTTATAACCCTCCACTTTATGACGAACTTTAATTAATTGAAATTCCGCTTTCCTTCTTTCATCCCAGTGCAGCAATTTTGCTATTTGAAAGAATGCTTAGTTCTTCAAAGAGTACCTTTAGAACGATTTGAAGTTAGGTGGAGTCACGTTGTGACTTCTATGGTCTGTGCTACAAACAAGGAAAGAATTAAGTAAGAGACGCTAAGGAAGGTGGAAAGTACTAAAAGCCAAAGGCTAGTTAAGGAATTTAGAAGGTAGGAAAAGGCATTCCTCTCGCCACAATTAATCGTAATGTCTGTGGACTTTTCAGCGCATTCATTCTCGCATTAAAAGATTCTAAGCAAATCTCAATTTGAAACCTTGAGTGAACTCTTATTTGTTCTACAGTTTCCACAGTTTCTACGAACTCTGGCCAGAGAAGTTCCAAAACAAGACCAATGGTATCACCCCACGCCGTTGGCTTCTTCTCTGCAACCCCTCACTCTCTGATGAGATCATGGGAGC